GGGGAGACTGAATCTGTTAGCACCATCAAGCGTTTAAGGAAGAGAAAATACCAAAATCTGTCTCCGGTTCTCTCCTGGAGGTGCTGCAGGGTGAGTCAGAGCCGTCGCAGCCCTGGGGGCCCTGAGGATGAGCAGCCTGCGGCTTGCACGGAACTAAAATACCTTCTACTTTTAGTCCCTTTAGGTGGGGGGTGGGGAACAGTTTTGCAGGGAAAGATGACACTGGTGTGAAGGTGGGGGGACCAAGAACAGTGACTTGTCCGGTGCATTTTAAGGCCAGAAAGGAATAAAAAATACTTTAAAAATTATTTACTGTATACATATATACACACACACACATATATATACATATATACACATACACACATACGCACATACATACATATATATGGAAACGCTGGTGGCATAGTGGTTAAGAGCTACGGCTGCTAACCAAAAGGTCGGCAGTTCAAATCTACCAGGTGCTCCTTGGAAACCCTATGGAGCTGTTCTACTCTGTCCTATAGGGTCTCTATGAGTTGGGATTGACTCCACGGCAATGAGTATATATGTGTGTGTGTGGGTATATAAAACATAACATTAGCCAATTCAGTATTTTTCAGGTGTACGGTTTACTGATATCAGTGACATTAATCATGTTGCCAAATTTTCCATCACCATTAACAGAAGCACACTGCTTCCTAAACAATGGCTCCCCTTTAATTTTTTTTTCCTTTTTTTTTTTATTGTACTTTAGGTGAAGGTTTACAGAACAAACAGTTTCTCATTAAACAGTCAGTACACATATTGTTTTATGACATTGGTTAACAACCCCACGACATATCAACACTCTCCCTTCTTGAACTTTTTTTTTGGTGGAAATATACGTAGCCAAAGATATCCCATTTCAAAAATTTCTACATGCACAGTTCAGTGACATCGATTATGTTCTTCCAGTTGTGCTGCTATTCTCACTTTAGATGAAGGTTTACAGAACAAAATAGTTTCTCATTAAACAGTTAGTACACATGTTGCCCTATGACAATGGTTAACAACCCCACTACATGTCAACACTGTCCTTACTCAACCGTGGGTTCCCTATCACAAGCTTTCCTGTCCGCTTCTGCCTTCTAGTCCTTGTCCCTGGACTGCTATGCCTCATTAGTCCCGTTTTGTTTTATGGAGCTGTCCAATCGCTGGCTGAATGGTGAACCTCGGAAGTGACTTCACCACTGAGCTAAAAGGGTGTCTGGGGCCATACTCTCAGGGTTTCTCAAGACTCTTTCAGCCCAGTAAGTCTAGTCTCTTTTTTGTGTGTTAGAGTTTTGTTGTACATCCTTCTCCAGCTCTGTCCAGAACCCTCTGTTATGATCCTGGTCAGAGCAGTCAGTGGTGGTAGCCGGGCACCATCTAGCTGTACTGGACTCAGTCTGGTGGAGGCCTTGGTAGCTGTGGTCCATTAGTCCTTTGGACTAATCTTTTGCTTGTATCCTGTTCTCTTCATTCTCCCTTGCTCCCGAAGGGATGAGACCAGTGGAGTATCTTAAATGACCGCTCACAGGCTTTTAAGACCCCAGACGCTACTCACCAAGGTAGAATGTAGAACATTGTCTTTATAAACTGTGTTATGCCAATGGAGCTAGATGTTCCCTGAGACCATGGTCCCCACAGCCCTCCACCCAGCAATTCAGTCCCTCAAGGAGTTTGGATGTGTCTGTGGAGCTTCCATGACCTTCCTTTGTACAAGTTGTGCTGGTTTCCCCTGTATTGTGTACTGTCTCACCCTTCACCCAAGATACCACTTATCTATTGCCTATTTAGTATCTCCCCCCCACCTCCCCTCCCTCATAACCAACAAAGATTGTTACTTTTTGTGTGTAAACTTTCTCATGGGTTTTTACAATAGAGGTCTCATACAATATTTGTCTTTTTTTGTGATTGACTTATTTCACTCAGCATAATGTCCTCCAGTTTTCCCCTTTAGTTTTTAAAAAAAGACAGTGATGGCATTTCAGTGTGTGTGGTTAGAGGTGAGTTGCGTGACCTCTCTGAGCCTTTCCCTCATCTCCATAATGGATATAAGGACAACGCCTGCCTTTCAGGTTGTTGGCAGATTAACTGAGAGGGGAGGGTTCTTGCATTGAGAGAGCAGAGCTCTGAGCCTGATGAATGAAGGACTTACACCCTGAGCTTCTGGGAAATGTGAATAATTATACCAACCATGAGGGGTTGTGAGGAGGATGCGGTTTATCAAACATACAAGTGCTAGGCTTCACTTGAAGCGTCATACATGGTAAGCCGTCACTGTTACTCTTCTTCTTAAGAACCAAACCCAACCAAACCCACTGCCATTGGGTCGATTCCAACTCATAGCAACCTATACGATTTTCAAGGCTATAAATCTTTATGGAAGCAGACTGCCACATCTTTCTCCCACGGAGCAGCTGGTGGTTTCAAACTGCTGACCTTTTGGTTTGCAGCTGAGTGCTTTAACCACTGCACCACCAGGGCTACTGTTTTATTAAGAACAGGAAGGCACAACCAAACACTTTGAGGGACAGAGTAGTAGGGGTGGGGGTCTGGGGATCATGCTTTCAGGGGACATCTAGGTCAGTTGGCATAACAAAGTTTATAAAGAAAATGTTCTGCATCCTACTTTGGTGAGTGGTGTCTGGGGTCTTAAAAGCTAGTGAGGGACCATCTAAGATGCATCAATTGGTCCCAACTCACCTGGAGTGAAGGAGAATGAAGAACACCAAAGTCACAAGGAAAGTATTAGCCCAAGAGACAGAAAGGGCCACATAAACCAGAGACTTCATCAGCCTGAGACCAGAAGAACTAGATGGTGCCAGGCTACCACCAGTGACCGCCCTGCCAGGGAACACAACAGAGAGTCCCTGATGGAGCAGGAGAAAGGTGGGGTGCAGAACTCAAATTCTAGTGAAAAGATGAGACTTAATGGTCTGACTGAGACTAGAGGATCCCTGGAAAGCATGGCCCCCGGACTGTCTGTCAACCCAGAATTAAAACCATCCCTGAGGCCAACAATTCAGACAAAGATTAGACTGGACTGTGGGACGTAAAATGATACTCGTGAAGAGTGTGCTTCTTAGCTCAAGTAGATACATCAGACTAAATGGGCATCTCCTGTCCGGAGGTGAGATGAGAGGGCAGACAGAGTCAGGAGCTGGTTGAATGGACACGGGAAATTAGGGGTGGAAAGGAGGAGTGTGCTGTTACAGTATGGGGAGAGTGTCTTAGTCATCTAGTGCTGCTATAACAGAGATACCGCGAGTGGATGACTTTAACAAAAAGTTTATTCTCTCACAGTCCAGTAGGCTACAAGTCCAAATTCAGGGCATCAGCTCCAGGGGAACACGTTCTCTCTCTGTTGGCTCTGGAGGAAGGTCCTTGTGATGCATCAGTCTTCCCTTGGTCTGGGAGCATCTCAGTGCAGGAACCTCAGGTCCAAAGGACACGCTTTGCTCCCTGCACTGCTTTCTTGGTGGTGTGAGGTTCCCATATGTCTCTGCTTGCTTCTCTCTTTTATATCTCAAAAGAGATTGGCTTAAGACACTATCCAATCTTGTATATATACCTCATCAGTATAACTGCCACTGATCCATCTTATTAGATCATAGTGATTGAATTTATAACACATAAGGAAATCACAGCAGATTACAAAGTGGTACACAGTTATACAGTACTGGGAATCATGACCCAGCCAAGTTGACAGATACTTTTGACAGACATAATTCAATCCATGACAGAGAGCAATTAGGGTCACATAACAATGTATGTATAAATTTTTGTATGAGAGACTAACTGGAATTGTAAACTTTCACTTAAAGTACGACAATTAAAGAAAAAAAAGATTTGCCAAAAAAAAGAACAATAGGCATAATAGTTGGTCAGCAGAGAAGAAACCAAAGTCAAATGCGTAAGAACAGCAGATTGCATGCAAAAAGTGGGGACAGCGCCCCCGCCCCCCCAAGGCATCTGGAAGGGCTGGAGCTAGCCACAGAGGAGAGGAAAGATAAAGATGGCCTGGTGGGGCTGTGGCTTGAGTTTAAGGCCACTAACCAGCTTTGTTACCTCAGGGACTCTAGCTCTGGGTAGCTGTGTGAGCTGTGGCTGGTCACTTAACCCTCTCTGTGCCTGACGCCCCACCACCAATGTGTGATGTGAGAAGGCTCTGAAATGGCAAAATATTTAGGGTAGCCGGAGTAAGGGAAAGAGCCCTGGTGGTACAACAGTTAAATGTTCAGCTGCTAACCGAAAGGTTGGCGGTTTGAACCTACCTAGTGGCTCCGCGGGAGAAAGACCTGGCAATCTGCACCCGTAAATGTTACAGCCTGGAAAACTCTATGGGGCACTTCTACTCTGTCACACGGGGTCATTATAAGTTGAAATCCACACTGCAGCACCTAACAACGACAGGAGTAAGGGAACGGTGGGGCTTTAGCTGGCACTGTGTGATGTGAGTTTTGGGGTCAGATCTGGGTTCCAATGTCAACTTCACCTCTTACCTGCAACGTGGCTTTGGGCCAGTTACTTCCCCTCTCTGAGCTGGCTTCCTTATCTGTACAGCAGAGATAATCACTTTTTACTGTAAGAACTGACCTCCAGGAGTAGCTGAGTTGCGTAAGTCCCAGCCAATGCTGATGCTTTTTTTGCACTGGGGAGAATGTCAGCGCCGCTTGAGCTGGAATGGACTCCATAGAAAGTCATTTAGTCCACTTACCTTGTCCGGGACTCAGAGAGGTGAAGGGACTGACTCAGGGTCACCGGGTGAAGTCAGAGGAGCTCCAGGTCCAGAACCGAGGGCTCTGGTCTCTCACTCCAGACTCCCCCACACCACTTTACCTCATACGGGAAGAGCAGCCCCAGCTCTGGAGCTGCCCACTAACCCCATACCCAGACACTGACTGAATTTATAAATTTCCTTTTTTTTCTTTTTTTTTAGCGATTGCTTCTCTGATTTGGATGTTCCTGATCCCCATGGATCCGCAGCCGTAACCATGGCGACACGGGTCGAGGTCAGCTCCCTAACTTCCCTGACGGGGGTGCCAGGCCTCGGTGAAATCGCCAAGGAGGAGACCTTGAAGCGGACCTACTTCAGCCAGGCTGGCGATGCCTCAGGGGCTCCCTCAGCACGGATTTTAGAAGGAAAAAGCCCCCTCAGGAGCTCGGCCCGTTTATTCCCTCTGCCAAGACTCACCGCCAAACCCTTCTCCAAGGAGAAGGCCTCTGATGTGAAATCCCCTGTCTCGTCTTTGTGGCCCAGGCCGTCTTCTTCCAGTGGGTTCCCCGAGGACGTGGTAGTGAAGGCTCTGGATGAGACGATGCCCACCTTGGTGGGGCAGGAGGCAGGTGGTGGGGAGGTCCCAAGGAGAAGCGCTTCTCTGTTCAACAGATCCCCGTTCCTACAGCCCAACCCCAACACCATGATTCTCTTTGAAACCATCAAAACCGGGCCCACTCTGGGAAAGGGGGTTGGTGAGGGGGCACAGGAGGTCAACAGAGGGGTATCTCAGGACCCCCCTTTGGGCTCCCGGCCTGAGGTGGCCGCCAAGCCTGCCCTACCATCTCGAAAGCCTGCAGGGACCCTTCCCCGACCCACTTCCCTGTCAGAGGAGACAAGTCCAGCTCCAGCCCAAGAGGAGAGAGGCCAAAATGACCCTCTCTTGAAGGCCAGCGGTGTGGAGGACACTGCAAGGCCCACTCGGGAGACCAGGCCACGCCTGAAGAGAAGGCCTGTGTCGGCCATTTTCATCGAATCCATTCAGCCTCAGAAGCCGGCCACAGGCGGAGTGGCTGTGGTGGGGAAACCTCCACCTACCCCACCTGAGAAGACATGGGTGAGAAAGCCCCGGCCTTTGTCCATGGACCTCACGGCCCGATTTGAGATCAGAGAGGCCTTGCTTAAGAAGGTGGCCGATGAGGAAAATGGGGTGACAGCAGGTTCCACTACCTGGTGTCAGGGGACAGAGAGGTCTGACCCGGAGCCCAAAGTGGACGGGCAGTGTTTGGTCAAAGCAGAGGATCCCCTTCATGACCCGAATTCAGGCTTCCTGGAGGTGGCCAAGAAAATCCAGGAACGGAAGGAGAAGATGCTTTTTAAGCAGGTGGAGGCGGGCAGCCCCAGGACCCCAGGGGGCTCAGCTAAGGTTGCTCCCAAAGATGACCAGAGTCCTTGGGAAGAGAAAGCCAAGCTGAATGGGGAGCCAGAGAAGGCGCCCGAGTCCCCTTCACTCAGGTCTGGAAAGGGTCAAGAATCTGAGGAGGTCAAGAGCAGAGTGGCTAATGGGGAAATTCCTGCGGGCGGAGAGTGGACCTCCAGGGGAAGTATCAAGAAGCGCATCAGCCTGTATGGGGAGGAGAGTGCCTTAGCCTTGGCACGGGGGTCTGCACCACCCCTGGCTGCCCTCGAGTCTCCCTCAGCAGCCCCTGAGCTGGAGAAAGGGGGTGTGAGCGTCCAGGAGCGGATTAAAGGCTGGGCTGCTGATACTGCTGAGGCAAAGCCAGAGATCAGGAGGAGGTCATTCCAGGCGAGGCCACTGTCGGCAGATTTGACCAAACTGTAAGTGGGAGCATCCCGTGGGCCTCAGTCTGAGCTGTCTCACACTGCCCACTGGAGACCCTGCGGTTGCATGCTAGGCCCCTTACACCCCCTTCCTCAGTTAATTCACAGTCCTGAGAGAAGGTGTGGCAGTTTCCATTTCTCAGATGAAAAAGCTGAGATGTGGAGAGGTAACTCAGGTCCCCTCTGTGTACAGTGTGTGCCAGTGGCCGGGCAGGGAGCTGGACTTCCTTGTTTCTTCTCATCTTTGTGGTATGTCCATAAAGTGGAAGGTATCGTACCGATTTCACAGATGAGAGTCGGAAAGGTGAAGTACTGTGAGGAAGTTGGGAACCCAGATATAATTCCAGCTCAACCTATTGCCTCTGTGTAAAATAAAATCTGAGGGGTTATGATAACCTGGGCAGGTCACTTCCCCTCACTGAGCCTCAGTTTCTTCATCTGGAAAATGGGAATAATAGTAAGACTCTCCTTATAAGATTGAGGTAAAGACTCAGAGAGATAACACTGGGGACTGCTCGGCCCATGGGAAGCTCTCAGTACACTGTGGCTCAGATAATATTAACCTAGTCTGTTAATAATGATTTTCTAAGGTTGGCCTGGCCTCCGATATCTCTTGCTCCTTTGTTTTCCTACAAGTGGCTTCTTGGCCACAGCACTGCGATGTCACTGGGTGTGATTCATCTGCTTGTCAGTGACATGCATGCCACTGGCATACTCTGTCCAGGATGGAGCTTCCAGGGGCAGGACCTCTGGGCACACTGCCCTCCTGGCCCTGGGAATCAGGGCTGCCAGCCTGGCCAAAGCAAGACCAGGGCTCTCAGCATATTAGAATCACCCTGAAAAAATACCAACCCCTGAGCCTCATCCCCAGAGATCCTGATTCAGTTGATCTGAGGAGGGGCTCACATTACTAGATTCTAAAAGCTTCCCAAGTGATACTCAAGGGCAGCCAGGCTGGAGAACCCCTGAGTTAAGAGTCACAGAGAAAAGATCACCTGGGACAGAGGCTTCCATTTCTGGGAAATGCCGAGTCCCAGGCCCTATGCCAGAGGACTCATGCATGTTACTCCCATTGACAGATGAGGAAACGGAGGCTCCGAGTTTAGAAACAGCTCATCCTGGGGCTCATGGCTGGCACCTGGGAGACCCGCATTGCTGAGCGTGGGTCAAGGTTACCAGTTGCCGACTTGTGGTGACCCCAGGTGTGCAGAGTAGAGTTACCCTCCACAGGGTTTTCATGCCTGTGACGTTTGGAAGCCGATCACCAGGGCTTTCTTCCGAGGCACCTCTCATTGGGTTCGAACTGCAACCTTATGCTTAGTAGCTGGGCGCTTAACCGTTCACACCACTCAGGGCCTCATGGGTCAAGGTTAAGTGGTTCAATTTCCCTCCCCTCCCTTTTCTCTGCAGTCCCAACCTGAGTTAATAAACACTTGCAACATCTTCAGGCATCTACTCCAGAGAACTCTCCAGAGATGGAAACGTTCCAGCCCCACTCTCTCTTCCCCTTGACAAATGGGGGAAACTGAGGCCCAGAGAGGGACAATAACTTGGCCAGGGTCACCCAGAGAGGCAGAGGCAAACCAGTGGCCCCATGTTCTGTGATGGCCTACTGCCCCCGACTCTTATGGCCAGGCTGCGGTGGGACTGTTGTTGTGCCCTGGTCACTAACAACAACCATTCATTATCCCTCGTAGGGCATCTTCGCTCTTCCCTAAACGCCCTCATGTAGCTATTAGGGCCTTGGGTAGCCTCTTATCTGCCTTGCAGAGGAAGGTGGGGAGGTGTTAATGATACCCATTTTATAGATGAGGAAACTGAGGCTCAGGTGAAGTCACATCCCACCCCAAGCTCCCTGCAGTGAGGAGGTAGTAGAGCTGGGACTAGCTCCCAGGTCTCTTTGCCCGGCCTGGGGCTCGTCCACCCAATGATGCTGTGTTTAAGGTAGGCTTTCCCCACTGTGCCCGTTTGTCTATTAGGAAGGACAATTTTCCTTTGACAGAGAAAATCGGGCTGTTCATGGCTTTGGTGATCTTAATGCTGATTGCACCCTCTGGGCTCTGGAACTAGTTATAGGGTGTGGACTGAGGGGAGTCACAGCTTTCCGCCCTGTGAGAATAACTCCCATCTCTGTACCAGGTTTTCAAGTCCTGCTTCAGGCAATGAAGTCAAATATGAGAAGTGTCCCGAGCCAAGTAGGGAGCTTCCCAAGGACTCGAGAGAAAAGGTAAGGAGTGACAGTGTTGGGGCACAAATTGTTTTCTAGTGGGGTCTCATGCCACCAACTGCTATGGAGTTGGCTCCAAGTCATGATGACCCAATGTGTGTCAGAGTAGAACTGTGGTCCAAAAGAGTTTCACTGGCTCATTTTTTGGAAGTAGATTGGCAGGCCTTTCTTCTGCAGTACCTCTGGGTAGACTTGAACCTCCAACCTTTTGGTTAGCAGCCTAGTGTGTTACCTGTTTGCACCACCTAGGGACTCCTGGGTACTTATACTTATCAGAAAAAGAGGCTTTCACGATCTGTTCCACTCAGGAAAGAATCAGAAACCTGACATGCACAAAAAAACCTATTTTTTCTCTTTAATGTTGGGACTTTAAAAGTGTCTTTTGGCATGATGTCGGTTAGTAGCCTGGTCTTAAATGCAGTTTACAAACAATGTAATCATCAGGTATTTATTTTTTCTGTGCGAACAGGTGGAGGGGATGTGGCTTTCCTGTAAGAATCTTTCCCTAGTAAGAAACTAAAATTTAGGCTAAAAAATGTTAATAGAAACTCCTTCCAGTTCCTTCACTGTGGTTCTTGCACCCTTCCCTGCCCTAACTGATCACCTAGCAGAAGAAAGAGATAAATTACCAGCAATTAAATTGCTTAAAAAGTATTTTTATTTATTGTGTTTAATCCAAGAAAAAGCTCATAAAGTAACTGCTAGGTGTAACTGTTTTGTGGTCGATGCCTTCTGCAGATTTTTTTTTTTTTAAACAGCTTCACTGAGGCGTAAGTGACATACAGGAAAGTGCACATGAGGATCCCTGGTGGTGCAACCGTTAAGTGCTTGGCTGCTAACTGGAAGGTTGGCAATTCGAACCCACCCAGCGGGTCTTGGAGAGAAAGACCTGGTGATGTGCTCCCATAAAGATCACAGCCTAGGAAACCCTTTGGAGCACTTCTGCTCTGTCACATGGGGTCACTTTGAGTCGAAATGACTTGACGACACCTAACAACAACAAAGTACATATATTTAAACTGTACAGGTTGATGCGTTTTGACACACGTATACTCGTGAGAAACTGTCATCACAACCAACGGAATGAACATTTCCACTACCCCAAAAGTTTCCTGGTGCCCTTTTGTCCTCCCTCCCTCCTGCCCCTCCCCACCCAGCAACATTTGATCCACTTTCTGTCGTTGTAGGTGAGTTTGCATTTTCTAAAGTTTTATATAAATGGACACATAAATGATGTACTCTTTTTTGTCTAGCTTCTTTTACTCAGCATAATTATTTTGAGATTCATCCGTGTTGTTGCTTGTATCAATAGTTCGTTCCTTTTTATTGCTTGCTGAGTAGTATTCCATGGTATAGACAGACCACAGTTTGTTTATCCATTCACCTTCTGATGTACCTTGCTTGGGTTGTTTCCTATTTGGGACCTGTTACAAATAAAGTTGCTAAGAACATTGGTGTACAAGACTTTGCATGGAAAGCTATTTTCTTTTCTCTTGGATAAACACCTAGGAGTAGATCATATGGTCAGTGTATATTTAAGTTTTTAAGAAACTTATACATAGTTTTAAAAACACACCAGAGCTTAACAACAAAAAGACAAAACCTAATCAAAAAACGGTCAAAGGACTTGAACAGGCATTTCACCAAAGAGGATATTCAGATGGCCAACAAGCTCATGAAAAGATGCTCAATGTCATTAGCCATTCCAAAAACCAAAACCTGTTGCTGTTGAGTCCATTCCGACTCACAGCGACCCTATAGGACAAAGTAGAACTGCCCTCTAGGGTTTCCAAGAAGTGGCTGATAGATTTGAACAGCCGACTTCTTGGTTAGCCACCATAGCTCTTAACCTCTGCACCACCACCTCACCCCTATGATCAAAACAACGGAAAACAACAGGTGTTGGTCAGGTTGTAGAGAAACTGAAACCCTCATCCATTGCTGGTGGGAATGTAAAATGGTACAGCCACTGTGGAAAACAGTTTGGTGTTTCTTCAAAAAGATGAACATAGAACTACCATATAACTCAGCAATCCTGATCCTAGGTATATACCCAGAAGAAGTGAAAGCAGGAATGCAAACAGAAACCTGCTCTTTTGGTGGCACAGACATTGCTGGTCAACTTTCTTGTTCACGTAGACTTGTGTACATGGGCAGAGAAAGAGTCCTAGGAGGAAATCGTCCAGATAAAAGGAAATGAATATTTTAAAATCATAATCATGCTGAATTGCCTGAAAATTGTATCCATTATGTTCTCTCCTACAGTGTCTGAGAGTGTCCATTTCCCCACATCCTTACTCACACTAGATGTTTTCAGTCTTTAACATTTTATGATATTTTGCTATTTTAATTTTATAAGCAGCCATTTCAGTCTCCTCGCATTTTCCTTCCCATTTTGCATCCTTTAACATTGGATTGTTTCTTTCTTTTTTTTTTTCAGCAGAAAGAAGGGCATTTTTTGGATGGAACATCTGTTCCAAGAAGCCTCTGGAAGCCTGGGACACTCCAGAAGAAGGCCAGGCAGACAGAGCAGAAAGACAGCTCTAACCAAGACCCAGACAACTGTCCACGTGAAAACTTGTTGGGGTCCCCGAGTACTCCTGGTGTCACTCTGGAAGATGATGGAAACTTCCAGACTGTGTGGGCCACAGTGTTTGAGCATCACGTAGAGAGACACACTGTGGCCAACCCGTTGAGACGCCGTCCCTCGGCCACGGTCCCTGTTGATGTGCCCGATACCCGTGTCTCAGAGTGCAGACCTGGGCCTGACAGAGGCTCTTGGCTGGGGAAGGTCCCACCAGAAAAGACAAACCCCAAGAAAGAGAACTCCAGGTGGTTCGAAAATTCTGAGACAGAGAAATTGGGACAAACGGCCCTTTCAAACGGTGAGCCAAAATGGTATCCTTGGGGAGAAAAGCGCAATAATAACCCGTTCTATAAGCACTCGGAAAACCCTCCCACCTCCCAACGGGTTGAGCCAAAGTATGACATTGTGCATGCAGTGGGGGAGCGTGCCCACAGTGAGGCTGTCTCCACGGCTCCCGAGGAGAAAGCCGTGACGCTCAGGAGCAGCACATCTGGGCTCTCACAGAAAGAGAGGCGGCTGTCTCCTGAGGCCCCCCCTGCAGACCTGGAGGGTGGTTTAGAAGGTCAGCCTGGGTCTGTCCAAAGAGCCAGTTTGATTTGGGAAGCTCGAGGGACGCATGAGGCCATGGCGCCAAAGCCTGACTTTCGAGAGCCGAAGGATGTGTTTGGGCGCAGTTGCCCATCGCCCAAGTGGACAGGCGGGGCCTCTGTGAACTGGAGTAAAGCCACCGTGGTGGTCAGTGAAGAGAAGGGCTCGGAGCTGAGCCCCGTGGTTGCCTGCGAGCGCTTGGCCAGGACCTGTGCACTTGAGGCTACCACTGTGAGGGCTGTCAAGGCCAGCATCCGTGAGGTCCAGCCCGAGGAGCATGAAGGAGCAGGAAACAAGCTGGGAGGCTTCTTTTCAAGGGAAGAGAAGGTTGTACCCCAGGGCTGGCCTCTAGATCCCCCTTCCAGGGCTAAGGATGAACCCTTTGACTTCCGAGCAGAGGCACATCCAGGCGTGTTATCTGTGCAGAAAGGACCCCTTGTTGTGGCTGCCAGTGAAGATGACCCAAGGCTGACTCCTACACCACAGCTGGAAGTGAAAATGCGGAAAGCAAGTCACATGGACCAGAGAACTGAGAGGTGGAGGCGTCGCACTTTACCCTTCGATGTGAAGTTTGAAGAATTCGGCTTCCTTGACCCAGAGCACTCTTTGAAGGTGGAACAGAGGCAGACAGATTATTTGACCCCTACAGCTGGTGCCTTAAGAAAACCTCAACTGTCCCACGATAGGGTGGGAACCCAAGAGGTGAACCCAGGCGTGTCACTGGTCCAGACTCTTCCACCGGGGAAGCAAGGGTCTCCTGTGGAACCCAAGGCGACATTTTTTGCAATAACATATCAGATTCCTGATGCTCAAAAAGCCAAGAGTGTTGTTAAGTCAGGGCCTGAAAATGTGATGGAACATTCTAGAAAAATAGCTCCCCCTCCATCTCCTCATTCTGTAACATCTACTTTAGTTTCTCTTAACCATGAAGAGCCACTGGAGTCTGTGGACAGTAAAAACTGGGCTAAGGGAAGAGAGCATGCAAATGTCAGCCTTTCAAAGAATTTGAAGCCAGCCGACTGTCCATCATCTCTCGGGGATAGGATTCTGGATCCTTCTAGCGAACGAATCATCGATGTCGATGCTTTATGGATTCACCGGGGATCAGAAGACGTCACTGGCTTTCAGAACGATTGGCAGGACGGTGGGAACAAGATGTCCTCCAGCAACACTCCCAAAACTACCCCAACTTTCAGAAGTCACCCAAAAGCTGGTGATCTTGTCAGAAGGAAGACTGAAGTGGTCAGCGAGACGTTCCCCGGTAAAATCAAAGAAAGCTACCGATCCAGTGTCCTGGACATTGATGCCTTGATGGCTGAGTACAAGGAGCAGTCAGTGAAAGGCCCTGGGGAGGCTCGGGAGCAGAAAGAGAGTCCTACGGCTGAAGTCAGCAGCTTGCCCCATGGGAGGCGAGGCCATCCAGTGGGGCTGGAAAGGGGTAGGAAGAGCCTGAAGGAGGCACCCCAAGCAGAGGGTCTTTGGAAACAGGCCAGTTTTACCGAAACAAACCACAGTTCCACCCCCAGCTCAGGCAAGCAGCAGGTAGAGATCCTGGACTCAGCCACAAACACCAAATTTAACCCTCCCCTGTGGGCTCTGCCACACCCAGCTCCTGAAAAATACCTAGAGGCCTCTTCTGGTCCTGTGGTTCCCAGGAAAAAGACCTTGGGACTCTCTGAGGATGAAAAGAAGGCCTGTGCTAGTAAACATCACAACGCCAAGTGTCAGAGTTACCCGGCTGAGTCCAAGTCCTCTGGTCAAGAGGATCCAGGCAGCGGGGCGAATGTGCTGTCCAGGTCGCCCCCCGCTGACTGGAAGAAAGAGACCCCGAGGAAATCCGTCAGGAGGGGAGATGAGGTCAGTGGTGCCCAGTGGGGTGACCACCCACGGGACAGTGGAAGGTCGCCGCTGGATGTCAAGAGGGCCTATTCGGAGAAGGGTCCTCCCGCCAAAATCCGAGAGGGCCTGTCCATCATGCAAGAAGCCAGAGAGAGGAGACACGAACAGTTCAAAGGGAAGCTCAGCCTCCCCGGGGAGAGTTTGGAGGCCAAGGAGACCAAAATGGGGCCCTGTCGGCGGGAGTCGGGGACTCGAGACGGCCACAAGGTAAGGAGGCTATTTCAATTTTTTTTTTTTTTTAATTGTGCTTTAGGTGAAAGTTTACAGCTCAAGTTAATTTCTCATACAAAAATTTATACAAATATTGTTTTGTGACATTAGTTGCAATCCCTACAGTGTGACAGCATACTCCCCCTTCCCACCCCACTATTTCAATTTGTCAAATGTTGATGAAACATCTAGGCCAGGGGTCTCAAACTCAGATCCTGTATTGGCCAGATGGGTACATAAATGAGTGGCATGCAACTGGGTGTCAGACTCCTGGGAGTAGTGGGGATTGTGGCAAATTGAGAGCTCATGCCCTATCTGAAGTGGGGCAGCTGCAGCTCAGTTCCGGCTAATTCTTGACGTGATGGCCCTGGGATGGCAGATCTGGTTTATCAAGAAAATCTGAAACTCTAGATTTTTATGTGTATTCCCCCCATTATGAAAAGGAGGACAATTCATTAATAACATGTTCAGTGCAAACAAAACTTGTCTGCTGACTATATAAAGCCCCTGGCCACGAGTTTGCAACCTCTGGCCTAGAATGATGATCATGGTATCATTTATTGAGCACCTGCTGTATTCCAGTATGTTATGCCTCCCCCCGCCCCCCACCCAGTATTGTGCTTGACCTTTTGTGGATATTCAAGAAATATTTGTTGAACGAGTAGATGAGTGATCTTATTTGAGCCTTGTGACAATTTTGTGAGAGAAGGATTGTCATGGTTTGGGATCCTCCAGGAACAGGACCTGAGGCAAGGTTCTGGGTGCAAGTAGTTTTGTTAAGAGGTGATCACGAGGAGAACTGGTAGGGCAGGGAAAAGTGAGACTGGGGAGAGAAGGCAGGTGATAGAGCTGTGTTTTCAAGCAGGTCATCACTGTGGGCAACTGAGGTTCAATCCTATTGGGTACCTCTGGGAGGCAGCGGAGAACACACACCTCTGAGTTGTCTCATCCAGGGTAAAGCACCTGGAATATTTATTTTATTGGGAAAATTCCATTTTCTATTCGTCATTGGCTCAGGCTGTTCCTGGAGTTACTAACTCTCAGGCTTTTCTGTCCTGGCTAGTTCCGTGCTCAATGGTGGAGAGAAAGCCCTCACACAGTAGGATGCCGTTGCCATTGTTGTGTACTTGAGTTTTGAGCAGGGCGCTGACAATGTCTGCTGCAGGTATTTTCATCTTCTTGTACAGATGGAAAAAAACGATACCATATTCTTCTGGTACCAAATTCCATCTTAGTTATTGTCTTAGTTATCTAGTGCTGCTATAACAAATACCACAAGTAGATGGCTTTCACAAACAAATTTATTCTCTCACGGTTTAGGAGACTAGGAAATTCAGGGCACCAGCTCTAGGGGAAGGCTTTCTCTCTCTGTTGGCTCTCGGGGAAGGTCTTTGTTGGGCCCAGCGTTCCTTGGAGATCTCCATGTGTGTTGGCATCAGTCTTCCTCTGGGTCTAGGAGGTTCTCAGCACAGGGACTCTGGGTCCAAAGGATGTGTTCTGCTCCCAGCTCTTCTTTCTCGGTGATAATGAGGTCCCTCCTCTCTCTACTCACAGATCACAAAATGGAAAACCACGCAATACTGGAAATCATGGCCTAGCTAAGTTGACACGTATATTTGGGGGACACAATTTAATCCATGATATTTCACCCTTTTAACTACACTACCAGGGCTCCTTTCACCCTTTGGCCTCCCAAAATCATGTCCTTGCCACCCCATCACATCATCCCAAAAGTCTTGAATCGACTCCAAGTCCAAAATCTCACCTTCTGAATCATCTAAATCAAATATGGATGAGACTTTAGGTATATTGGTGGTGCAGTGGTTAAGAGATTGGCTGCTAACCAAAAGGTCGGCAGTTGGAATCCACCAGCCATTCCCTGGAAACCCTATGGGGCAGTTCTTCTCTGTCCTGTAGGGCCACTATGAGTTGACATCAACTCGATGGCAACAGGTTTGGTTTTTTTTGGTTAGGCATTTTCCATCCTGGGGCAAAATTCCTCTTCATCTGTGAACCTATGAAATCTAGATTACAAGTTATCTGTTTCCAAAGTACAATGGTGAAACAGGCACAAGGTAGACATTTCCATTAGAGATAGGAGAGATTGGAGGGAAAGAAGAGTATCAGGCACCAAGCAAGTCTTAAAACCTAGCAGAACAATTTACATTAGCTCTTAAGGCTTGAAAATAATCCTCTGTTCTCTAAGACCATCTGGGCACTGGCCCAGCCCTCCAGACTCTGGGTGTTGGCCACATTTTCTGGATTCTGGGTGGAGACCCCTTGGCCCTGGGCTTCAGCTCCACCTTCTAGGCCCACTGAGACAGCAACTCTGCTCCCTTGGCTTTGAGTGGTCCCATTTTCCTAGTCCATCTGAATGGCAACCCCACCACCTCAGCCCTGGCAGGACCTGTTCTTCTGCCCCTTCGGTATGGAAACCCCACTCCTTCAGCTTTGGGTGGCAGCCCCATCTTCCTGGCACACCGTAATGGCAGCCCTACACTCCAGAACTGAGTTGACGAAGATCCGACTCTTTGAAACCTAGGAAGCCATGGCCCCATCCTTTGAGATTCAGGAGAAACTCAAGAAACTGAGAAAGTCCTGCTTCCCATGCTCCTTCCAACAGTTCTGCTGATCTCTGAGCTGCTCCAGGGATGGTCCTTTTCTTTTCTTGGAGGACAACAGATGTAGCTCCGTTGGCCTGTTTCAAGCCTGTAGAATTCCAAGAGGCAGACAGCATTCTTTTCTTTTGTTCTGTCTCTGTCCCCTTCAGTCTAAGCTGATGGCTTTTCTGCTGTGGTAGTTGGTTAGATCCATCAGTCACAGGCTTAATCTCTTTAACAAATGCTTGTGTAGCCATATCCTTGGTGAGCATTCTAGGACATGTGTCCTTAGTTTGTAGAACAGAATTTTCCAAATTTTAAATTCTGTTTTCATTTTTTCACAGTTCATTTCTAAGTCCATGTTTTTCCTCTCACATTTTACTATAAGGAGAACCCGCACGGCCCTTTTAAGATCTTGTTTAGAAATCTCATCAGCCAGATATCCAGGTTCATCACTTACAAGTTCTATCTTCTACCAAACATTTGAATATAATTCAGACAAGTTCTTTGCCACTGCATAAAAAGCATCACTCTTTCTCCATTGTCCAATCGCATGTTCGTCATTTTCTTTTCAAACCTCACCAGAAGCATGTTTAACATCCACATTTCTAACAACATTGTGTTGCTGGTGCTATATGTATTCTCTAAGATGATGAGAGACTTATTCTGTAGCTCTCGTCACTTCCTTCTGAGCCCTCACCAGAATTGCCTTTGATGTCCATTGTTCTGCCAACAGTCTCTTCAAGGCAATCTCAGCTTTCTTTTACTATGAGACACCTTAAAACTCTTCCAGCCTGTACCCATTACCCAATTCTAAAACTACTTCTACATTTTAGGTACCTGTTAGTACCCTTCAACGATACCAAATTCTTCTGGTACCAAATTTTGTCTTAGTTATTGTCTTAGTTATCTAGTGCTGCTATAACAGAAATACCACAAGTTGATGGCTTTAACAAACAGAAATTTATTCTCTCACAGTCTAGGAGGCTAGAAGTTTGAATTCAAGGCACCAGCTCAAGGGGAAGGCTTTCTCTCTCTTGTTTGCTGTGGGGAAAAGTCCTTGTCATCAGTCTTCCCTTGGGTGGGTCTAGGAGTTTCTCAGCACAGGGGTCCCAGGTCCAAAGGACACGCTTCCCTCCTGGTTCTTCATTCTTGGTGGTAGGAGGTCCCTCCGTCTCTCTGCTAGCTTCTCTCTTTTATATTTCAAAAGAGATTAACTCAAGATACAACCTAATCTTGTAGATTGAGTCCTGCCTCATTAACATAACCACCTTTAATCCTGCCTCGTTAACATCATAGAGGAAGGCTTTATAACACATAGGAAAATAACATCAGATGACAAAATCATGGACAATCACACAATACTGGGAATTATGGCCTAGCCAAGTTGACACATATTTTTAGGGTACAAATTCAATACGTAACAGTTATCTAGTGCTGCTATAACAGAAATACCCCAAGTAGATGGCTTTAACAAACAGAAATTTATTCTCTCACAGTTTAGGAGGCTAGAAGTCCGAATTCAGGGTGCCAGCTCTAGGGGAAGGCTTTCTGTTTCTGTCGGCTCTGGGGGAAGGTCCTTGTTGGGTGCAGCATTCCTTGGAGATCTCTTTGTGTCTTGGCATCAATCTTCCCCAGGGTCTAGGAGGTTCTCAGTGCAGGGACTCTGGGTCCAAAGGACACACCCTGTTCCCAGCTCTTCTTTCTCGGTGATAGTGAGGTCCCCTCTCTCTCTGCTTGCAGATCACAAAATGGAGGACAACCATACAACACTGGGAATCATGGCCTAGCCAAGTTGACACATATTTTGGGGGGACACAGTTCAATCCATGACACCAAGTGTGGCTCAATACGTAAGCTTTCACTGTGTGGTCAATGAGGAGCTGTGAGAGGTAGAGAAGAAATCTGGGGCATGGAGCCCACCCTCTGCAAGTGTTTGATCCCCATGGAGAAATGGGACATAAGTGATTCAAGCTAGGAAATGATACAGTGTGGAGTGAGGGGCTGGAGAAGAGGCCCAGGAAGGCTTCCTGGAGGAGGTGCTGGCTTGAACCCAACCTTGAGAAATGGATGTCCATTTGGATGGGCCGATGAGGGGAGAGGAGGGCATTCTTGGCAAAGACACAACACATGCACAGTTTTGGAGGTGGGAAAAATCATGGCATGTTCCAGGTGCAGTGTGGAAACTGACTTAGCATCCCCAAGTATGATGTGGTTGTGACAGCAGATTGGTGGCATCAACAAACCGGAGCTCAGATCCCACCTCTGCCCCTTTCCAGTTGAGTAATTAAAGGCAAGCCCTTTCACTTCCTTGAGTCTCAGTGTTCTTGTCTGTAAAAGGGGTCCAACCTGGAAGGGTTGTTGTGGAGATTAGACAACAGGATAATATTAACCTAAGGTTCGCCTCAGGTCTAGGAGAGGGTAAGCGGTGGGGCCAGGCTTTGAATCTACGTCTCTTCCTGAAGAGGCCAAACTCTTTAACCACCATGTTCAGGATCACAGAGGCCACTTTTGAATCTCTGCTCTGCCACTTCCCAACTGTAAAGCAGACCCTGCACCTCTCTGAGCCTCAGTTTCCTCACCTATTAAACGGAGTTCACAATGATCCCAGCCTCAGAGCCCTGTCATCCGGCTGAATTGCAAAAAAGCACCTAACGTGGTTGGGTACCCAGAGGTGCCTAGTCAGGGCTCCCTATAGTCCCCTCTTCCTGTAGGTGCTGAAGATGTGCTTAGAGAGAAGGGTTCTGCCTGTGCCTACCTCCTGATATTGTGGGAGCAGTGACAGAGGCAAGAGGCCATGGAAATGTGACAGTCTGTTCGCCAGTGCCTTGCTCAGTGGCCTGGCTGGCAGCGGAGAGTCAGGGCATTAGGGGAGGGGGTGCTTCTGGGCCTGGCTCCGGCCCCCTAGCCCAGCCTTGGACACCCGCCCAGAGCGCGCAGGCCCAGGAGCTCTCACCGTCAGGGAATCCGTTTTCTCACCAAGGGATCGGGAAGCCTTGGCCCAGCTTCCTGTGTCTGTCTTCTCTCCTGCCCAAAGAGCTTTGGTTCTTGGTCTTGGAGGGAAAAAAAAGTATCACAGAAGAACAAAATGTTGGTTGTTAAAAATTTAAACCTTACAAACCCATTGCCATCAAGTCTATTTTGACTCTTAGTGACCCCATGTGTTACAGAGTAGAACTGCTCCATAGGGTTTTCTTGGCTGTAATCATTATGGACTCATAGAATTGATTCAATGGCAGTGGATTTTTGGTTTTAATCTTTATGGAAGCAGATCGCCAGGCCTTTCTTCTGCAGTACTACTGGGTGCGTTTGACCTGTTAACCCTTAGGTTAGCAGGTTAGTGCAAATCGTTTGTGCCACCCAGGGTCCTTCAGACCTTACTAGGGTGTATAAAATAAAAGATAAGTATACCTTTTCCCTTAACCTATCCCCCAGACTCAGCCAATGTCACAGTTTTTGATGTCCTTTGGGACTTCCCTACACTTCACAGTGATTTATGAATCATATGTATTTCTAACCTTCACATTTTTCTCTTTACAAAGATAGTAAATGCTATGTAAAAGATGTAAAATGTTATAGAAACATGGCTTAGAAAGAATATCTCCCCAAAGACCCTCCCCACAGTGATCAGTGCATAAACGGGGCACACCCTTCCAGCCCCTTTTTTCTTTCTCTGTATGTGTTTAGACCAGTGGTTCTCAACTAGGGGTGGTTTTGCTCCCCAGGGGACATTTGGCAGTGCCTGGAGACATTTTTAGTTGTCACAACTTGGGAGGAGGGTGCTCCTGGCTTCAAGTGGATAGAGGCCAGGGATGCTGCCCAACATCCTACAATGCACAGGACAGGCACCCCACAACTGAGAATTATCTGGCTGCACATACCAATTGTGTCGAGGTTGAGCAACTCTTGTCTAGATACAGATATAGAAAAACAAACAGTAGCTGTTGACTTGACTTCGACTCATGGCCACCCCATGTGTGTCAGGTAGAACTGTGCTATAGGTTTTCAATGGCTGATTTTTCAGAGGTGCCTCGAGGTCGACTCGAACTACTAGCCTTTCAGTTAGCAGCCGAGTGCTTGATTGTTTATGCCATTCAGGGACTCCAAAGGTCACGTATGGCACCAAAAAGAAAAGAGGACATGAGGCAAGGGATCAGGGTCGCAGCCTTGCTCTTCACCAGTGCTGTGTGTTCTTAAAGCAGGTCCCTTCCCTCTCTGGGCCTTCCTTTCCTTATCTGTGTGGAGAGTGTGAGGCAGGTCAAATCCACATTCTAGAGTCTCATATTCACTGACCTGTAAATGCATTCCCTGTATAGACTGAGTGGGAAAAATGACAGGATTCAGACCTGCGTATGTAGTATGATCCCATTCATGTTCCATTTTCCCTGTGTATCTCTGTGTGTGTGTGTGTGTGTCTGAGTGTGAGTGATGTGTGTATGTGTATGTGTGTGTGTTTTGTCGTAGAGAGCGAATGAGTCTTCACATATGACCAGTGGCAGTCATGAAGCTGGCTAACGTTTATGGAAGGAACCCTAGTGGTGCAATGGTTAGGCGCTCAGCTGCCAACCTAAAGGTTGGCGGTTCTAACCCACCCAGTGTCTCTGCGGGAGAAAAGACCTGGCGATCCCGTAAAGATTACAGCTTAGGAAACCCTATGGGGCAGTTCTACTCTGTCACATGGGGTTGCTATGAGTCGGAGTCGACTCAACTGTACCTAACAACAGCATTTATGGAGGGCTGCAGCGTGGCGGGCATGGCTGAGACTAAGGCAAGGCAAGCCGGGCACCCAGGCCTCCCGCAGTCTGCCCCCTGGTGGCGGCACAGTGTCATGCACTTCCACTGCTCTTCCTCACTTGTTTTCCCATCAATTCTAGAAGCTGGTACTGCTATTATTTTTCTTTTCCCAGATGGTCGAGGTTCAGAGAGGTTGAGGAACTGATCTGAGGTCACATAGGAATGAACTCTCTTGGAGTGACATATTCTTCTTGTAACCGGAACTTCCCCTCCCCCGCTCCTCTCTTTTCTTGTGTTCGAACCCTCAGGTGCTGCCGCAGAATGTGGGGATGGAGGGTGGCCTCCAGGACAACGAGCAGCTGCTTCGGCAGGTGTACCCTGCTGTCCTGGGCCCCCGGAGAGGCCACAGCTTCTGCAGGGACAAGAGGAGTGGGCCCTTTGTGGTGAGTGATAGTGGCGTGGCCAAGTGGGACCTGCAGGTGATGCTGGTCCTGAGGCACCGCTGGGTGGTCGGGAATGTGGCCGTGGAGAGTCCTGGTGACTGGGCCAGGGGCCGAGAGTAGGTAGGTGGCTGTCCGGGAATCTGGTGTTGTCTGATGGGCTGTGCTGTTGTTCGTAACACAGAGGGTGTTTGGTGGCTCTACCAGGGAGCCTTCTGTCTCAGTCATCTGGTGCTACTCTAACAGGAATACCACAAGTGGATGGATTTAGCAAAGAGAAGTTTATTCTCTCACAGTCCAGTAGGCTACAAGTCCAAATTCAGGGCATCAGCTCCAGGAAAAGTCTCTCTCTCTCTGTCGGCTCTGGAGAAAGGTCCTTGTGATGCCTCAGTCTTTCCTTGGTCTGGGAGCATCTCAGCACAGGAACCTCAGGTCCAAAGGACGTGTTGTGCTCCCAGCCCTGCTTTCTTGGTGGTGTGAGGTTCCCATGTATCTCTGCTCACTTTTCTCTTGTATATCTCAAAAGAGATTGCATTAAGACACTAATCTTGTCAACCTCATCAGTATAAACTCATCACAGTGATCGAATTTACAACACATGAGGAGATCACATATAATCTCATCATAGTGGTAGAGATTATAACACATAAGGAAATTACATCAGATAACACAATCATACAATACTGGGAATCATGACCTAGCCAAGTTGCTATGCACATTTTTTGGGGGACACAATTCAATCCATGACACCTTCCCTCCTCACATGTTTCCAGCCCAACGCAGGGAGGTAACGCCAGCTGCCTGGCATGGAGCGGTTAAGAGAACAGGTGGTGGGATCTGAAAGTCCTGGGTTCAGATCCCAGCACTGCCTCCTCTCAGCATCTCTGAAATTTTGAGCAATTTATTTAAGTTCTCCACGCTTTAGTTTCTTTGTCTGGAAAACAGAATGTGATTCCTATTTTTTCAACAGTATTTCGAGGACTGGAAGAGATTATATGCATGGCCTAGTACATAGCAATATGTTTGATACATTATAGTTGTGGTAATGATGGGAAACAGTGGAAAGCTGGTTCTGGAGGCAGACCACCTGGTTCAAATCCTAGCTGTGACCTTGGACAGGCCTCTGGCCTCAGTTTCCTCATCTGTAAAATGGGCACAATAATCGTATCTGCTTTACTGGGCTGATGTAGGACTTGGATGAGATAATGCGTGAAGTGCTTAGGACCATCTTGGGTGCACATCGAACACTTAGTGTTATTGTTATCATTATTTTATTATTACTGTTCTTATTTTCAAGTCTCCGCTTGGCTATTACTTAGCTATGTCTCTTTGGGGCAGCACTGTCCCTCTCTCTGTTCACCCACTTGTGGAAGGGGCTAGATACGTGATGCAGCATTACCGTGGGGAAGCTGCTGCCTCTGTGAGCCTCAGTTTACCCAGGTGGGTTCCAGGGCTTGAGCACGTCTGATTTTCTATGATTTTTGTTGTTTTTTTGGATTTGAGTTCCATGATATTTGGAGGTTTGCGGTAGCACAAATGGTTTGCACACATCTACTAACCTAAAGGTTGGCAGTTTAAACCAACCCAGTGGCACTGCGGTAGACAGGGCTGGCAATCTGCTTCTGTAAAGAGTATAGCCAAGAAAAGCCTATGGAGCAGTTCCACTCTGTACCACATGGGGTTGCCCCGAGTCAGAATTGACTTAACAGCAAAGGGTTTGGTTTGGTTTTTGGTTTCAGCTTGCTAATGAAGTCCCTCAGTGATCCCAGGTCCTATTTGAGGACTTCCAAGACAAGGTGCGTCTTTAATGAAACGACACTAATGTTCAGCTCGCGAGGCTGTTTTTGACTACACAGCTCTTGCATGTCAGTGACATTTGTGCCTGGGTTTGTGTCTTGGAGACATTAGATCCTGCATTCAAATGTGCAGCCCTTCTAGCTTGATGGTCATAAATAGGAAACTTCACTTCTCTGAACTCTCAGTTTCCTGCTCTGTAAAATGGGGATGAAGAAGATGCTTCTGGCAGAGTGCTTGCTGGGACCTGATAGGAGAATGGCTACGGTGAGAGAGCCTGACTTCCCGGCTGGGGCGACTCAGACCTTGGTGGGATCTCTGCTGAGCAGCCCCAGAAGGTTCCTCGAGTGTCCATATCTCAGCCACAAACCCGCGCATATTTGAAAGCCATCTGCTTTGTTGTTGTTTTAAAATTTATTTTTATTGTATTTTAGGTCAAGGTTTACAGAACGAATAGTTTCTCATTACACAGTCAGTACGCATATTGTTTTATGACTTTGGTTAACAACCCCATGACATGTCAACACTCTTCCTTCTCGACCTTGGAGGACCTTTTTTCTTATTTGGTGAAAATATACATAGCCAAAGATACACCATTTCAAAAATTTCTACATGTACAATTCAGTGACATCGATTAAGTTCTTCCAGTGGTGCTGCTATTCTCACTATCCTTTTCCAAATTAATTCCATCGCCATTATCTTCAACTCACTGCCCCCTAGGCTTCCCATCAAACCTTTTGAGTTGCTGTTGTCAATTTGATCTCACATAGATAATTCTTTTTTTTGTTTGTTTGTACTTTAGATGAAGGTTTACAGAACAGAACAGTTTCTCATTAAACAGTTAGTACACATACTGCCCTATGACAATGGTTAATAACCCCACGACATGTCAGTTGTTTTGTAAATGTTCTCTTGCACTGATTTCTTTCTTACCCTTTCCTCTGTTCCCTCTCAAGTGGCACTGACTCAGCTTATCTGATTGTACTGTTTATCTGATTGAACTTGTGTGTGTGTGTGTGAAGACAAAGGTTATGGGGAGAAAAGCATTTAAAACTTCCCTTTTTATAGTCTCTGTTTGCTGGCGTCCTCTCTGGTTGCCCGGCTTCTCCTCATTCACACTCTATCATAGAGGAGCCTTTGTCCTTGGATCTCTCAGGCAGCTCACCTTGGCTCTTTTTTCTGGCCTCCAAGGCCCCTGCCCCGCTGCTGCCTGCTTAATTTCCTCTCCTACAGAGGTGACTGGGTAGGGAGACGTAGCCCTGACCCCCTGGGTTCTCAGACCTTAAATCCGTGCTTTCAGGACTCACGCCTGCAATTCTAGGGAGCAGCCACCAGGAGCCAGTGTTGTTCAGTTCCCTTCCTAGTTGCTCCAATGCCTGACTGGGAGGGACCTAAGCATTAGACTCTAGATGCTGAAAGAAGTGGGTTCAAATCCCAGCTCTGCCCCTGTGTGACCTTGGGAAAGTGGCTTGATGGAGCTTATTGGGCCTCAGGTTTTCCTCCTGTGAAATGGGAATGGTTCTATCTGGTCTCAAGAGTATTTTTGTGAGCAGTAAACAAGATTACTCAGCACAGGGTGAAGTCTCAATTAATGCCTTGGCTGCAGTGATAGTTTTTCCTTCTTTCTTCCCCTACTTCTTTTTTTTATCTTCTCCTTCTCTTCCACCTTTCCTTCCTTTCCACTTTCTCTTCCCCTCCTCCCATTTTTCCCTCCTCCCTTTTTCCCACTGAGTCCAACTTTTTATAAATGGGGAAGCTGAGGCCCAGAGAGAGGGCCTGACTTAGGCAAGGTGACCAGCCAGGAGGGAGCTGTGGTCTTGACCCCTTGACTGTGCTGGCTGCCCTGCTGCTCGGGAAGTTGGTCAGATGTGCACTGAGTACCTCATGAGGTAGCTGAGAGGGTGAGTGAGACACTCACCACGATAAACATCTGCTGTTATTACCACCATTGTTTTTATCAGTGCTTTTGTGCTGTTAGTTTCTAATTTAGGCTCAGCTCCATTTTTTGAGCCCATGTCTAAGGACTTATCAGCCCCCACCCTGCCCCCGTGGTAGGAAGTAAGAGTCCCATTATGCAGAGGTTGAAACTAAGACTCAGAGGGGCTAAACCGCTTGCCCGAGGCCACACAGTTAGCAAGTGAGAGAGCTGGAATGGAACCTGGGTTTGTCTCTCTTCTGGGCCTTGTCCCATTGATTATTATTTGCTATCAGTTTTTCCCCTAAGTTCTCTTAAAGAGCTATTGATGGGACACACTGCCATGAGAGGGTGCTTTGGGCCTGCTGCCAGCTCCCGCCAGCCCTCTTCCCCTTGGGCCTACAGCATTCTGTGCACAAGGAAACAGGACACCCCTGCATCCTGTGGCTGCCTCCTGGGGCTGAGAACAGGATATTTGTTCAGCCCAGGGTTGGCTGCCAGCTGTTGCGCTGTGGCAGTCCTCTGAAGGGTGCCTGGGATCTGCTGGGGCTGATGCCCTGCTGATTTGCATAGCCCCGCCCACACCTGGCTGAACCACAGGCTGGGCAGAGCCTGAGCATGAGTCAGGTGGGCATGGCCCTCCCTGCCTCTTACCAGAGGCCTTGAGCAAGTGAGTGAGTTTGCCACTTGGGCCTCTCTTTTTCTCCTCTGTAAAACGGGGAACAATAGCAATACCAATATCTGACACAGTGTGTACTGTGCGATGAAGGTATTTGTTATCCTCATTTTACAGATGAGGAAACTGAGGCTGTGAGATATCTTTCCAAAGGTCTGAGTCTGGAGTCCATGCTTTTAACCATCTACTGAACTTATCGCTACTGGTGGGGGGATGAAGCAGGAACAAGATAATGCTTAGAAAGCATTTAGTACAACACCCAGCACAGAGTACACGCTTGACAAATATTGTTGTTAGTTGCCGTTGAGTCAGCCCTGTATGCACAGTGACCCCATGCACAGTGGACCAAAACACTGCCTGGTCCTGTGCCATCCCATGATTGGTGGTGGATTGGACTATTGTGATCCATAGGGTTTTCACTGGCTAATTGTTAGAAGTAGATTACTGGGCCTTTCTTCCTAGTCTGTCTTAGTCTGGAAGCTCTGCTAAAACTTGTTCAGCATCATAGCAACACACAAGCGTCACTGACGGACGGGTGGTGGCTGCACATGAGGAGCATTGGACGGGAATTGAACCTGGGTCTCCCACATGGAAGGCAAGAATTCTACCACTGAACCA